ATAAATAATGAGAAATCTAAATGGAATTCTCAATTAATTTAATTATTCATGAAATTTAAATGATTTTTATTAAAATTGCGATAGCTAATATATTGGATTATAGAATTATGAAACTAAATACTTATGAAATGAAAATGTCGAAAAAATATCAAAACAAAAACCAACGACTAGTTATTATTTGATTAATTTGATATACTAAATTCAACATAAGATAAATTCATATGTTAAGTAAGAAATATATTCTAAATTGTTATTAGTTTCTATGAAGGTTTTTCAATTTGTTTCCATATCGGTCAGTTAGTACGTCAGATTAGATCATTAGCCAAATAAATAGTTCTCATGTTTTTTCTGACTTAATAAACAATAAACAAAACGTTTTAGTTATAAGAAATTAGAAAGAAAAAATTGATGAATTTTACTACCTTTGAATAATATTTCAAATGATAATTGTCAAGTTTTACTAATAATAACAATGAATTCTGATTATATATTATACTTGTTTTATAATAATATATTAAGATCCTCTCAGTATTAATTTCTCAACAAAATGTTCAGGAACAATCGGCTCTAATGAAAGAGACTTGTGGTAAAAATCTCAGCATAATATGCCTAATTAGATCGAATTTCTGGCTTGTTTTTCTACTGTCGAAGAAAATTGAAAGAACTCCATCGTTATAAAGAGTACAGATTTTGGACTGCATTCAAACTAAAACTAGCTTTTGTGTGCAATTTTTCATCGGACGGAATTTTTGAAATTTCCTTCTATTCAATTATTACAAACATTTTAATGAACATGTTGTTCAATATAAGCATAACAAAGCAATTAAATATGAAAGTTAGCTCTGTTCCGAGCCGGATAGAATTTGTTTCAATTTGTTGCCGAGAAATCAAGCTTTTGGAAAAAAACTTAAGAACTTTAAGAAAAAATTTCTTCATCTGAATCCAGAGAAAAAACCATTCTGGAATGGTACATTCACAATATGTTTGTTGACATTTATAGGCTATCTTTCTGATTATTTAAATAATTTTCATTTGACTAAGTGTTGGTTTTTTATTTATTTTTGTTTAAAATGCTGTGACGTTTCGTTTCTAGTTTACAACTTCATCAGTTGTAAAAATTTATAAGATTTTTATCGGATAATTGTAATTGATAAAAGCAAATCTTAAATAGTTGAATATAGTTTAACTCAATCTCGACATAAAAATTCAATTAATTTCGATAGAAACATTTCAATATTAAATTTTTATTTGATTTTAACTAAATAAATCTTAAAGGTTGGTTATCAATTTAAATCTATTTTAATTATTTATCAGAAATATTTCTATAAAAACTAATCAACTCATCGAAATCAAATTGGTTAATATTACACAAATACATAAAAAATAGGATGTGGGTGTGGCTAGAAAATAGAATACCCACCCACGCCCACCCTTCAGACTTGTTTGCTGTTGCTATCCATACTTACAGATATGATAACTTCATTTGGATAAACCAGAAGATTTGATGCTCGCCTTTCAAGAGAGGAACTAATCGAAAGATCTGAAATATTTATAGAATACTATTCTCGATGAGTTCTGTTTCTATATAAAGTTTCAAGTCGAAATTCGAAAATCACTTTTTCTGATGCTCCTGAGAGGGAATACGGCATTCATTTAAAAACATACCGTAAAAATGCAATATCTTCGTACAAGCAAGCTATCAGTCTGAACTTTCTTCAAAATATTCATAGTTTCTTTGTACCTACATATTGCACACTGTCTCAATGCAAAAGCGATTGATCCGTTGAGGATCTTGCCTCGTAAGTAATTTATATATAATTGATGTTTAGATTATGTATTGTTTTGTCAAACCTCGAAATAACCCTTTTATTTCAATTTCGACTAAGAACTCATTCTTTTTCGAAATACATTTATATAAATAATTTTCGACATAAATATAATAATACGAAATAAATCATTTGCATCATCTGTTGAAAATTAATATAAATTCCACATGTTATTTGTATTTATATTTTGGTCATAGACGTTATTGCAAGAAAATAACTTAGTTTCAAGATCTCTTCTGATTGAAAATGTCAAACTGAATATGAGATCAATATTTCTGTTGTATCTTTAGTCATCAATTGATAATATTTGTTTTGAAGAATGTTTCATAAAGTTGAAACCACTATTTCGAATTCCATATAAATGACACAATAGAAAATATCTTACGAGATGTCTTTAAAACTATTTATGATTATTTTCTTTTTCATGAAATTAAAAAGGTATTGTATTTTTTTTAGCTGTAACAGTACAGATAGCATGATTCAAAATTTTATCGATAAGTTTCATTATTGTATTAATGTAGTTGAAATGCTTTTCTTTACGATTTGTGCTATGTAGAATTCTGCCTTTTTTGTTTCTTATCACAACAATGTCAAAGAAAGGTAAACTTTTTCTTTTGTTAGATTAAAATACTCATTACATATACTTCTATAAGTTACATTTTGTAGCATTTGTGCATCAATATTTGGTGTATATTATTTGTTTTTCGTTGTTAATAATATTTGTAAAATTAATCGTAAATATTTAGGTACTAATTGTGAATTTAATGATTGTTCTTCAAGTCCTACCATCTTTTCAATATGAAGACAAACAATTGATTCGACTACCGGTAATACAAATATATATAAGTGTACGAAGAATTTTAACGATGTTAATGATAATGTATTTGGTTTTAATAAATTATTCCTAATAGTCTATATTGATTGAATAAGTAAATAATTTCCAGCTAATGTACGATCTATAAAGCCAAGAAAATTATTAATATGAAAATGTATCAAGATGATGTATACTTTCATCATGAATTAAAAATTCACGAAAATTATTTAGAATTGTTTAGCTAAAATAAAATTAGAGATATTATAAAACCATAGAAATTTTAAATTCAAATAAATGGTACTATAATAGAAGATAAATCCAATTATGGACCAAACTAAACGGAAAGAACGATTGATATTCTAAAAAACAATTTAAACTTTAGAAAAATTTCATGAATAAAAAAAAACGAACTTTTCTGTTTGCTGATGCTCGAAATGTAACAATAAATGGATCAATTAATCGTAATTCAAATCATGATACAACAATAAAATTTGTTAATTGTGTAGAATAAATATCCAAAAGTGATTGATCCTAAAAAGTAAAGTGAAATCTAAGATTATCAAAGAAAGAAAAATAACCTTAGAGGATGCCATAGTAACATGTAATTGTAAATGAATAAGAAGTCCATGGACAATTTTGTCGTGAAATACAATTCCATTAATCACCTTCATGTTGAATACTATCAACAATAATATCATATAGAACTAAGTCTAATACTGCTAAAACTTTAACAAAAAGAATTCAAACAATAATTTATTTTTCTTGAAAATATTTTTTTTCTTTTCTTCTTATTATACGTTGCAAGTCATCTTTACTTGCTTTGTGACAACATAATTAGAAATTTCGTAAGAAATTCTATTCAAAAATAAGCGATAGATCAGAAATACAAGAAATTTTATCAGTGTTTAGTATACTACAATTAATGTGAATTAAAAGTAATTGAACAAATGAATCGAGTACAGCAACTTGAAAATCACTTTCATTCGTGTCAACATATTTTTTTTTAGCATTAATTTTTTACTTAAATAAAAACTATGAAACAGAGTAGATCGAATTCATGTTGCTTGTGAAGAAATATTTGAAGATTTTTATTTCAGAAGATGGTGATGAAGGGTGTGGATGTGACAGTGAATGTTATTATTTTTTTCAACTCACACTCTACATATACACATAAGACGAATATTTTTTTTCGACTACGACGACGACGACATGATATTGATGTCCGTCAGATGAGAAAAAAAAATTAAAAAAAACATACATATATCATTACATAAAAATTGATCGTCAAATCAATTAAAACACACGAAGAAACATCAATTCAAGTGTGTGATGTGATTGATGAAAAATCAATCAAAACCGTTGAATATTAAACAATGAACCATAGTGTATATAAAAACATGGATGTATCATCATAAAACAGTACATTCGCGTTTTCTCAATATGATGCATTACAATGTAATTATATACCCGGGTACATTATTTATTATTATTATATTATTTACAGTGATAATGATATCATTATATTTTAAATAAGGTAAATTATTTGTCTTTATATTTAACAATGCTTTTTTTTTTAGATGAGCTACGATACGATACAACATTGAGAGGTACGAAAAAATTTTTTTTTACATGTTGAGTTGAGTTGGGTTGAGATAACTTATTTCGAGAAAAAATAAATACTGTCAGTTATTATGAGTATGAGTTTATCTGAGATGAGTTCAGTTGAGTTATCAATGTGGGTCAGATAGCAACGATGTCTGATTCAATAGGGACAGGAACTTTGCCACAGCGAAGCAGTGTAATACTAGAGAAGGCCTCTATGAGTCGTTGGTCCCTACCGTGTTAATACGGCATACCTTCGGCCATTGCCCTACCAGTCCGGCGTGGTCCGCCTGTGATACTTATGGCATTGACAAGGGATCTCTCCCTTGTCGCGCGCGCGGGTAAGCCAAAATGAGCCGAGAAAAATCGAAATGAATAGCAATGCGAATAAATTTATTGAGCAAGCCAAAAAGAAAAAATTACAGTTACATTTTCTTTTTTACATAGTCAATTGAGTTTGTAGTTGTTTTAATATTAGGATGATTAGGTGGAAGTGATTTTTGCAAGATGGAAAGTGCCTTTTCTAAGAATGAGAGTGCTTTTGAGTAGTCTCCTTTGCCGTAATACGCCGTACCGATGTTGTTGTAGGAAGTAGCCAAATCGGGATGATTCGGAAGCAGAGCTTTTTCTGTTATTTTAAGTGCTTTTTCGTAAAATTCAAGTGCTTTCGAGTAGTCACCCATGTTGTTATACACTTGACCGATGTTGTTGTAGGAAATAGCCAATTCGGGATGATTCGGAGGCAGAGCTTTTTCTCTTATTTTAAGTGCTTTTTCGTAAAATTCAAGTGCTTTCGAGTAGTCACCCATGTTGTCATACACGAGACCGATGTTGTTGTAGGAAGTAGCCAATTCGGGATGATTCGGAGGCAGAGCTTTTTCTCTTATTTTAAGTGCTTTTTCGTAAAATTCAAGTGCTTTCGAGTAGTCACCCATGTTGTTATACGCAACACCAATTCCAGTGTAGGTAGGAGCTAATGAAGAATGATCTTCCGGAAGACTTTTTCTCTTGATCTTCACTGATTTTTCATAAAATGAGACTGCTTCTTGGTATTGTCCTTTATGGTCTTTTGAAAATCCAAGCTGGTGATAAATATGTGCTCTATCACTGTCATTGGAAGCGTTTTTGAGTAATTCATTGTAGAGTTCTTCAGCTTGATTGTAGTGACCCACCCGACGCATCAGTTTAGCCATTCGATACCATCCAGTGCCATCGACTTCCTTTCGTATGCGATTAGTAAGAGCAGCCAATTGTGGATCATTGTCGCCGGTGAGACTCAATTGAACTTCCCACAGACTACTATTGCTAATTGATTGTTTGATATCTTCGACACGAAAAACAGTATGCATTGAAAACAGGATTTCTTTTTCAGTTTCAATAGCACTGTATTCGTCGATAAGTGCAAATGGAGTAGTTGCCGCCGATATTGTATTTGAATCAATTGTCATGATGAAAAGAACACCGACGATGTCTTTATTTTTCTGCATGGCACGTTTCACGAATTTCATAGCGATCTGTTGTTTTGTGCTTGTTGATAAAAAGTTGTTAAACGCAAGCAAGCCACCTCTTATATTGAGTAAATGTTGAATATTCTCGTTGCTTAGACCCTGACCGCGATATACGATAAAACGATTTACAAAATTACTCTGTTGGCTTTCGTACAATTGCTGCAATTGTCGATGAAGATCACGGATGAAAAATCCTAATGTCATCATTGCTTGTGTGTCAAGTGATCGCAATGATAGGTTCAGCATATCATATAAGAATATTGGACGGGTATACCACCAAACAGGGCTTTTCTCATTATAGCCACGCTGGAACTCCAATAATTGAGATTCACGAACACCTTTTCGACGGCAGTATTCTACTAACTTCTCCATAGCCGTTTTAGTATCCTCGGTGATTTCCAATAAAATCTCTTTGAATATCATCGTGTACATAAAAGATGGTTCCAATTGATCGAGGTTCTTTTCATTCGACGCTGTTGTTGTTGAGATCATCTGCTGTGGAAGGAAACTCATTGCTATTGCATCATGGTCACGTTGGTATATATTGTCTCTTAATGAATTACATAATGATTTGATTTCTTTGAAGACTCCTTGAACTTTTGCCCATTGTTTATATTGGGTATCTTTGCCCTGAAAAACATAAATGCTATCTAGGTGAGGAATATCATGGATAAGTGGCACCAAATGTTGATTTATTGTGCCCATAATGATTAGTAGCACCTTAATATCATCTATCTCCGTAATGAAATCAACACAGTCGTCTGGTTCTTCGAAAGTTTTGATATCGCTGGCGATGCTGAATAGCTGCTCTAACGTATTTTGCGAAGTCG